GAGAACAAATAATTGCTAGTTTCTAAACTTTCTACATGCTCTTAAGTAGGCAAGACCAGAGAAAATTGATTCTTAATAAAATTATCAAATCCCTAAAACTAACAAAGAATCAATTCTAAGTACATCTTATTCCCTCTCCAGCAGAAAGACACAAAGTTTCCTCGATACACCCCAACTAAAAAAACAAACAAAACAAAAAAAACACTTTACCTTATCTTATTTACTATATAATAAAAAGCATTACCAAGTAACATTTTCTTTCCATGTTTTGGATGACAGTGGTACAGAGGCAGAGTTCCACACTCTGGCTGGCCTGGAAATTGCTAGATACACCAGGCCCATCTCAAGTTTACAGTGATCTTCCTGTTTCTATATCCCAAATATTCAGAATATAGACACATAGCACTACACACACTCAAATGGCATTTTCCTAATCTATGATGGTCCATTCATAAATTATATATACTATAAAAATAATAACATAAAAGGTTTCAAATTTAAACCTCATATATTCTCACTACTACTAAACCAAAACACTAGTATATGAACTATATGAAGAATTTTCCTCAATATGTTTCTACTTCCAACCCATAACTTAAGCTAGCTTTATTTAGATAAATTCTGTATAATAGTTCCAAGAATATTCCCATCAAAAGTGAGTAAAGAGAAAAATACCAGTGAAGACTCTTTTCTTCTAATAACTGCATGTTAAAAACATTCACATTTCTCTGCCACAAAAACTATTTGATCTAGTGTTTCTTAGAACACTAAAGAATGCCAGTGTGAGCTGGAGAAATGGCTCAGTGGATAAGAGCAGTGCTCTTCCAGAGAACCGAGGTTAGGTTCCCAGCACCCACATGGCAGCTGACAACTGTTGTAGCTCCAATTCCAGGAGCTAATAACCTCTTCTGACCTCTACGGACAGATACACAATAGAAGAAAGAAAGAAAAGAAAAGTATGAAAGGAAAAGAAAAGAAAGGAGGGAGGCAGGGAGGGAGGGAGGAAGGAAGGAAGGGAAGGAGGGAGTTTTTTTTTTTTTAAAAAAAAAAAAAAAGACAAGAAACAATGCATCCTGGAAACTTATTTTGGGGGGAAGTTCCATCTAAGATAAGTTCTGAAAACATCTGTGTTCCTTGTGACTCTGGAACCATCAATGTCAAACATATGTCTTGACCTATCTAAGTCAAAAGTTAAACAGAAGCCAGGTGAAGCAACATGTACCTGAACTCCAGCTAGGTGAGGAGCAGAGATAGAAGGAAATCCCCTGACCGAGAAATACAAGGCTAGTGTGATCTATAAAATGAGATCCCTTTAAGGGTATGTGGCTCATGCCTTTAATCCCAGCACTCAGGAAGCAGAGCCAGGTGAATAATTTATGAATTTGAGGTCATCCTAGTCTATATAGCAAATTCTAAGTCAGCCAAGGCTACATAGTGAAACCTTGTCTTTAAAAAGACCAAAAAACTGCCGGGCGGTGGTGGCACACGCCTTTAATCCCAGCACTTGGGAGGCAGAGCCAGGCAGATCTCTGTGAGTTCGAGGCCAGCCTGGACTACCAAGTGAGTC